GGAAGAACTATCGAAATGTTAGTGTTATAATCATTTTGCATTGCCCAAATTTCATTCTTGTTTGAATGGGCATGCCTGAGAATGGTAGTGTTTTTAGCATTCAGTGGCTGCACTATTGATGTTAATTTGCCTGTTGTTTTAATTTGGATGCAGGGGACATGTACTAGGTATTGGTTTGAGGAAGAATATGTGGTGTTCCTTCATGATAATGGTTATCTACTGTCAGCTTCCTCGACCATTGCAAAGCAAACTTCGACAATGAAGTTCCGAAAGTGGTGGGAAAAATTGATAGCTTAGAGCAGAATCTGAACAAGTTGAAGGAAATGGTTGGCAAGAACAGGGAAGGCATGGGAAGCTATATTTGTCTTGTGTGTGGCTGTCTGAATGTAACATTCTTGGTGTTGGCCATCCTTTTGGTTGTAACTATAGTGTTGAAGTAGCAATGATGATGAAGTAGGACATGTTGTGAAGTAGGTTGGATATGTTGGTCACACATGATATGCTTTTGGCTATGATGATGAAGTAGGCTAGGACATGTTGTATTGAACCTGTTATCTAGGATGTATTTGCAGTTGGTATGAAATATGTGCCTTTGTGCTGTTGTACATCTCTTGTGTGCATGGATATGTAACCTATCTGTGTGATGAAATATGCACCTTTGTGATGTATGTTGGAATTAAACATCCCTTTTGCTTTGATGTGTAACCTGTGTGTGATGAAATTTTGGCAGCATGTATGTAACTTCTAGCATATATATCATGACAGATCCTGTAATTTCTATGACATTGTCAGGTTGTCATAAAAACCTAAAATTTTTGTAGTATATATCATCTCAATGAATTCTGGGCAGCATATAACATATCCATGATATTTTAGCAGCATATAGCCTGTATGTAACTTCCAATAGGTTACATGTGCATAGAATAGAATTCATAAATCAAGTTTAACATTGAAACTGAATCATTGCATACAAGGTCTTACAATTTCATAATTCAGATACAAATTTCAATGGCATAATTCAGATACAACAGAATCACTAACAGGAGTTCATGGTTCACAAATAGCTCCAAAAATACAAAGGCTAGTCATCATCACTGTCTTCTTTTGATATGTTGTCTTCATCTGGACTATGGTACTCAAGGAAGGTTTCATCTTCATCTTCATCTTCGCCGTCTGTTTCATCACCTTGAGTTGTATGTTGATGTCCACAGATGCTCTCGACAAGGTCTCTACTAATAGGGTTGTTTGGTTGATTGTCCATGTGCAACAAATCGATATCAGGATAAATGTCTCCCACTGTACCATCTCTGGACGAAGTATTCTCCTCTTGGTATGCCTCCTGACATCTCATCTGTACTTGTTCATGGATTGGTTGCTTTCCATCGGACTCTTCAACATCAAATATATGTTGGTGGCCAAATTCTTGTACCACTCACCAAGATGAGTCGAACTTTGTATCTTCCAAGAAAAATACTTGTGAAGCTTCTGTGGCTAGAATAAAAGGATCATTCTTATACCATCGGCCTTCGATGTTAATTCTCTTGAAGTAACCATCATCTTTCATTTGGTATGTCCTTCCCTCAAGATTGTACCATTCACACCGTAATAAGATAACAGATCTATCTCCTTTGCTGTTCTTAGTGTAACTCAACTCAATAATGTCTCTGATTGTCCCATAGTAGTCAATAGTGACATCATTGTGATCCCCTGTAGTCTTGATGGTGGAGTTTTGTGTTTTCCTATGTGCCTCACGAGCCATAGTGTGGTACCATACCCCATTGATTATACAAGCTGTGTATGATCGCACACGCCTATCCGGTCGACATGCGAGTGAGTACAAGTCTTCATCAACATTTGCTGTGCCTACGTAATTCAATCTGGTAATCTACAGGAAAACACAGAGAATTGGTGATTTTTGAAAATTTATTGTATCATAAATGATTCACTCAGGTTGTAAAAGTTGCACGCACATGTTTCTCAAACCATGCAGCAAAGTGTGTTGACATCATTTTTTCAATATTATTGACCTGTTGTTGTTCCAATTGGGCTCTATACATTCTGCAAAGGAAGTAGTTAATTAGTTTATTGTGAGACTAATATTGACTAAAATTGGCATAAATGAAATGACAATAATTACTCACTCTTTGTATTCATCAACCTCTTCGCAGTTATTTAGAACAAACCAAACCATGGAGTCATAGTCTTTATCTTCGTAATGAAGTGTTGAAGCACCCAACAGGTTAATACCATGACAAAAAATAGAGTAACCATTGGGTGACATGTTATGTTCTACATATAAGTTTCTTTCAGGCCTAGTGAACCTAGTAAAAATGTCACTAAAATATGTTGAGCACTGGGTCATACACTCATATGCAGTGTATGCCTCTGCAACAGATCCTTCAGGTCTTGCTTTATTGCAGATGAAACGCTTAAAGGTGCCCAATCTTCTCTCAATGGGATACATCCATCCATACTGAACCGGTCCCCTAAGGAGTGCCTCATTAGGTAAGTGTACTGCTAGGTGAACCATAACATCGAAGAATGCAGGAGGATAAATTTTCTCTAGCTTGCAAAGGATAATTACAATATCTTCCTTCATCTGGTGTAGTGCATCAACCTTTAGAGTTTTCGAGCAAAGTTGTCTAAAAAACCTACCCAATTCAGCAATTACATCATATACGTCTTTGTGCACCAAACCATGAAGGCCAGCTGGTAAAATACGCTGCAGCAGTATATGACAGTCATGTGTTTTTAGCCCATGCATTGTTTCTCCCTCCATATTGACACATCTTGATATATTAGAGGCATAGCCATCTGGAAACTTAACATTGCTCACAAACTACAAGAACTTCTTCTTTGCTTCTGGTGTTAGAACGTAACAAGCTTTGGGCTTTGAGGATGAGTTACCAGTGTCTTCCTGCAAATGAAGCTCTTTTCTTATACCTCTGTCTTCCAAATCTAGTCTAGCAACGATTGTGTCCTTTGTCTTGTTCGGAATATTAAGTAGAGTTGACAAAATGTTTTCACATATGTTTTTCTCTATGTGCATAACATCAAGGTTGTACTGCAGCTTCAATTTTGACCAGTATGGCAAATCATACAAGCTAACCTTCAGATGCCATACTAGTTCTCCATTACAGCGTCGTTTTCTTGATTTCGGCTTATCTGGATTTTTGCCTAGAACATAGCAAACTTCATCCAACCTTGCCATAACCTCATCTGCACAAAATTTCCTTTGCTGCTCTCTAGTTTCATGGTGGCCATCGAAAGATCTATTTTTCCTCCAGGGATGGTCGTTTGGGAGGAAACGTCTATGGCCTATGAAACCAATTTTGTTTCTTAGGCATTCGGAGCATGGATTCTCATCACAGTGCACACATGCAAAGTAACCCCTAGTAGTTTTGCCTGACATGGTGCCTAATGCAGGGTAGTCATTGATTCCCCATAGAATCGCTGCACGCAGACTAAATTCTTTGCCTTCATATGCATCATAAGTAGGGACACCTTCCCAAAGAGTTAGCATGTCTGCTATCAAAGGCTGCATGAACACATGGAAATCTTTGCCCGGTGATTTTTTGCCTGGAATTATTAAAGCAAGCATATAATTGGATTGGTCCATACACATCCATGGTGGAAAATTGTATGGAACCACTATCCTTTGGCTGAGTTGTATGAATTGGTGTGACCAAATGGGTTAAATCCACCAAATGGGTTGAATCCATCTAGAGGATCATCTACAAAATACTTGAAAGTATTATCAAATTCTTTCCAAGCTTCTCCATCAGCAGGATGCCTCATTTCATTCTCAACTAGTACCCTCTTTTCCTTGTGCCATCTTGCATACTGTGCCCGCTACTTTGAGATAAAAAGCCTTCGAAGGCATGGAATTATTGGAAAGTAATGGAGGACCTTGTGAGGAACTTTATTTTTGCCCTCCTTGTTCACTTTCCATCTTGTGAAGCCACAAACTAGGCAATGATCATTGTCTTCATGGTCCTTCCAAAATAAGGTACAATCATACTTGCACACATCAATACAAACATAACCAAAACCAAGCTTCCGAAGTAGAACTTTCATTTCGTTATAGGACTTAGGGAGGCCGGTCACATTCGTCAAAGATGTCGAAAGCAACTCAAGGAAAGCATTAAACCCATAATTTGTTATCCGATTATACACTTTTATATGCAGCAGTTTAATAATGAAAGTTAGCCTAGATTCCTCGGTGCAACCTGGATAAAGCTCACGCTTTGCCTCTTCCATGATTTCTTTATATAAGTTACCACCAAAGCCATGGCTTGCTGTAGTGTGCAAATCTTGAATCAACCCCTAAACTCCCCGTGCACTATCTTCTATGACATCTTTAGCTTGTCCTTCCTTATCAAGTGTTGCCTGGTCATTTCCCTCCCATGACATATCTTTAGGTACAACAGTGAGTTCTCCATCATCATCTTGTTCAACATCATTATCTCCCTCTCCATGGTCAATCCACCTTGTATAGGACCTATACATACCATTGATTTCGATATCCTCCTATACCACACCTTGGCTTTTTTCTATTTGGTTCAGGCATTTTCGGCATGGGCACTTGATTTTCTCATCTACACTATATCTACTTCTGACATGTTCCATGAATTGTGCAACACCAGACAAATAGGGAGCAGTAAATGGGGCACTATTATAAATCCAGCTTCTATCCATCTCGACCTAGGCGGCGCTGCTGATGGTGGGGGGGAAGGGGGCCGAGGCAGCAGATGCGGGAGCAGGTGGCTTGGCCGGCCAGGCTCCAGCTGGGGTGGACGACTAGGCTCCACCATAGGTGGCCGGTGCGACACTAGCAAGGGTGGCCGATGCAGGCTCCATTCTCTAGTAGGGGTCGCCACTCTCCAGCAGGGGTCGCCGATGTAGGCTCCATTCTCCAGTATGGGTGGTCGGCGCGGCACGAGCGAGGGAGCAGCTGTGGTCACCGGCCAGGCTGCCTCTAGGGGGCGCCGAGGCTACTAATGGGGGGGAGGGGGCCGGTGCTGCTGCTTGTGGGGGGAGGGGGGGCGGCGCGGCTGCTTGTGAGGGTGGGCGGCACTGCTGCAGGTGCCTTGGCCGGCTAGGCTCTAGCTAATTAGCCTTGAGTGCCATGTGGTCCAAAGTTTCAATGACATGCGGGCCCAGCATGCTCATTAGCCTCCCATGTGGTGCAAACATCAATTCTTTTTTTGATCTATGGCAAAAACTTCTAACAAGTTTTTCTCCCACATACTAGCTCCAAATCTGATGTTTTTTGTTAAAATTTTCTAAAATCATGATCTATCAATGTATAGCGTTGATTTTGGCTCCATCATCATGTGTCAAAGTTTGAACAAATCAAAATTTGAATATAAAAAAATTACAACTTTACACCACATTTTGAAACTCCAAATGATTTCAGCTAAAAAAATCACAAACATCAAAGTTGAACAACTCATCAAGATCTACATTTTTGTATTGGTCATTTGTTCATCCGAGAAAGTGGTAGTAACTTAGTTCATAAATTTTACATTCTCTTAGAGTTTCATGAACTATAAGTGAGAGATGTAATTTCTGTGAACAAAGTTACTGTCACTTTGTCGGATGAACAAATGACCAAAACAAAAATTGTAGGTCTTGATGAGTTGTGCAACCTTTGTGTTCATCATTTTTTAATTTGAAATTATTTAGTACCCCAAATTTTTGTTAGAAGTTTGAATATTTTGAAATTCAAATTTCAAACTATCGAAACAAAGTCATACGAAGAAATAACCAAAACCAAATTGGTAAATCTCGACGCGTTGTACAACTTTGTTTCAGATATTATTTCCATTTTCAATCGTTTATTAGCCAAAAAATCCATTTGAAGTCCTAATACTACTAAAACGGTCACTGACATAGTGGACCCACTGCGCCAGGACAAAAATGTGGCTAAATTTTCAAAGTTGCACCTCACACTCTCCCGCGCTGATTCACTCGCCGACACATGGGCCCCACCACGCCTCCCTCTCAAGGCATCCATGTTCCCCCCGCGGCCTTATCCTCTTGCCCGCGGGTCAGACCAAGGGGAAATCCCCAATCTCCTTCTCCTCCCTCCACTCGCCGCCACGCCGCCGCCACACCGCTCACTACTCACCGCCACTCACCGCCCGCCGCCACTCCGCTGCCACCACCCCGTCCGCCGCAACTCCGTCGCCACCACCCCGCTCGCCACTCACCACTAGCCGCCACTCCGCTGCCACCACCCCGCCTGCCACTCACCGCTGCTGCCACACCTCCCGCTGCCGACCCATCCCGGCGCCACACCTCCGCCGTGGCCAGATCTGCCCATCTCGTGGCCACATCGCCGCTGGAGGCCGGATCCGGACATCCCTCCGCCACACCAATGCCCGAAGCCAGAGGCTCCCATCCCGCCGGCACACCAACGCCCGAAGCCAGAGGCTCCCATCCTGCCGGCACACCAATGCCGTAGGCCAGATTCGGCCATCCAACCCTCACTCCTACGCCAGTGCGTGGAGCCACCTATCCCGCCACCACACCAATGCTGGAGGCCGGAGCGGCCCATCCCACCACCCGCAGCTCTGACTCCCTCCGCGGGCTAATCTCTGTGGCTCCGCACAGAGCGCCACCTCCTCCTCCAGCCGTCGTCTGCCTGGCCCTGGCCTCGTCATTTGCATAGTCCCCCTCCGGCCAGCTTTGGTTAGTTCCTCAAACATTTCTTGCTTTCCCTTCTCCCCTAACTTGTAGCTCCTGTTACCTTGGTCGGCAGATGTGGTGAATTATTTGTTTCCTAGAGGTTTCTTTGTTAGTTAGACCCTTTCTTGCACTAGTACTTCTGTGGGGAAGCACAAAAGACCATGAATGGCCTTTTGGCCTTGCTGTGTTATGGATGATAAAATGTAAACAATCATTTAAATTGTATGTGTATGACAACATCAGTTGTTAAGCATTAGTGCAGGACTACAGTTCCTATAGACAACTCACCAGGTGGATAGAGCTCTAGGCAAAGCAATGACATCAATGAGTCGGTGAGCAATTTGATGCCGCTAATTCAGAGGGTCATACATATGAAGGAGAACCAAGAGATGACTTAGTTCTAGGTAAACAATATGAGTTTCTAAGCATTTGTTTCTCCATTCAATATCTACAATTGTTACTACTTTAATAACACATTTTGATCATTATTTGCCAATGCAGCGCCCCCAAAGAATGTCCGCAAGAAAACCATGGGTCATGGCTTAGAGAAGATGCTAAATAGAGGAAAGAAGCTGGCTATCCAAGTGGCTGAAGGGAAGAAAATACCTGATGTCCCACTTCAGGCAGCGAAGCTGGCATCAGAAACTAGTGTTGCCCTTAGAGACAACATGCCCATCTACACATCATGGAAGCTTTATGACAATGATGCGGGAAAGGTAGAAGTAAAAAAAGTGCTTGACAAGGTGGCGGTGAGATAGCTATTTCACTCCTCCAAATACTCTCTTGCATTACTCTACTCCCATGTGAAAAATTGTATCTAATAAATGATTTGTGTGGCTTCAGTCAAGGTTGGATGTGGATGTTAAGAATGAGGCACCAAGTAAAGCTGCATGCATTGATATCATTAAGAGGGGAGTAAGGCAGACGAGGTATCACCTAAAAAAGAAGTACTTCGATGAGTCACTGACAGAAGAACAGCTGTTGGCCAAGCAACCTCCACCTAAAATGAAGAAAGAGGAATGGACCAAGCTGGTAGAGTACTGGTGTGACCCAAAGAATCAGGTCCATGCCTGAATTATCTACTTTTGTTAATATGCAATGCAAACTGTGCATGTGAATGACAACTCTATATTGCATGTGGTGCAGGAAAAATGTGCTAAGAATAAAGTAAACCGAGCCCAAGTGCAGCTTCATCAAAGGACTAGAGCTAGGTCCTATATTGCCCATCGATACAGCCTAGTATGGATACTATGTATTTTGTACATTTGTAGCTTAGTAATTACCATGTGCTTTTGAACTGTCAAGTTAGCACATGCTCCAATTATTTCTGAGATGAGCTCCCATGTTCATAATATTTGCGCTGTGCCAAGTGAGCTATAATCAATAGGTGTTTAGGCTCCAATTCTTTTATGGTGACCATTTGAAACTAAAATCTGCAAGAGGAATTGCTATGTCATCAAAGATGATCATCATCAGTAGTAGGTGTTGTTTAGGCCAAGTTATTATTCTTGATCTGTCCAGGTTGCATTGATGCATGTTCCTGTGTTGTTTTTCTTGAACTGTCAGTAATTAGTTGACTTTGCTAGTGATTGTATTTGTTGTTGGCATAAAAAATCTAGAGGCAAATACTTGTATGATCTGTAGTGCATACATATTTTGGCATCTTGCTGTTGGCATGTACAAATAATCTATGGCTAATCTTATATCCCAAGTTTTTAACATGCTGCAGAGGACTAAGTACAACAACATGGAGCCAGATGCTGTTGATTTCTTTGGAGAATGTATGAGTAGTCCCCAAAATGATCGTACTCCTCTTGCAAATAAAATATATGTAAGTTACAAAATCAATGGATACATGCATGTACTGCACTTAAGTAAATGCCTGGTTCAACACTATTGTATGGCCTTGTTATTAAGTGGATTCATTTTATGTAGGAATAAATGGTTGTAGAGAAGGAAAGAGAGCTAGAAGAAGGAGAAGAACAAAAGTCTCCCTCCAAGATTGTTGCTGACTGTCTTAGCCAGATCAGCCGTTCATCCACCTTCCTTCCTAACATTGGTGTCCCTCGACCATCGAAGACTGGCCGGTCCACATCGACAGCCGCACAAGCACGCCTGCATGCTCAGTTTGAGGAAACACTCCAAGTAGAAAGAGAGGAAGCTGCTAGGAAGTAGGAAGAGTTGCAAGCACAACTTCAAGCTCAACAGGCCGCACTTGAAGAAAACCAAAGTTTGCTGTGTCAAACCCAAGAGGAAGTGAAGGGGATGCATACCAAGTTTGAAGAGACTAATGCACTGCTACGAGCTGTCCTAAAACTTTAGAAAGATTGAGGTAGGTATGAATGCAGTGTCTGAGGATGATGCCTTTGCCTAAGCTTTTGCTACCTTGCTAGAACTTACTCTGTGGTTGGAACTTTGTCAGAACTATGTGCAATCTATTTGTATGTTTGAACCTTTGTGGTGGAACCTCTATATGTTTGAACCTCTTGTGGTGGAACATGCCTGATGGAACCTGGAACTATGTGGTGGAACAAGTGTGCTGGAACATGTTGAACCACTGTCTTCTGGTCTTGAATTTATCTGTATGCATGATGGCTTGACTGAATTGTGTATGATTTATAACTTGTGATGAGAATGTTGTGGATGATGGCTTGGCTGATATATATGTGTATTATGCTTTTATGAGCTGTGATGAAAGATCAGTGTGTCGTCACTGAATATGGCTGCCACGCTCGTCATGAATGAGAGGACAATTTGTGACGCCATACGGTCGTCTCAAAATGTCTCTAACTACCATACAAAACAAGACAAAATCTAGGCGTCACAAAATCCACATACTTATATATGACGTTTCTGTGTCGTCAAAAAAACTTATCTGAGACTGTTCTCGCACGTACCATTTATTATGTTTTGTACATTAGGTGACGCGTTGACTGACCAATATGTGACAGTTACAGTCGTCATAAAAGATAACAATATGTGACGAAAGAGACAACAGTCACAAAAGGTTGTAACATTTTGTGATGGTTCTCAATATTATCGTCACAAGTTACATTATGTGATGGTCGTTATATGACGACTGGCATGACGCTTCTTTTTTGTCATAAGACACTTTTTATGACCAAATTTGTACTTACCACGACAATGTGCTTATGTCATACAAACCAATTTTTTTGTAGTGTGGCTACCGTCAGTCTCTGATTGTGCGACGCTGTACGAACCCACACAATATGTATCTGAGTTGTACCAAAGGTGACCTAAGGTGACTAATGATCTGGTCTATCTGGGTTTGTGTTAGGAATAAATTCCCAGCTGGTTGAAATCGATTCGAATAGCCGTCTCTCCCGGATAGTGAGAAGCTTGGCTAGCTCCAACATCGTAGTAAGTGTATTATGGAATGTGATGGTTCGGATAAAGATGGAATTACTACACCGGCTATGGTTACTATTGTATGCTCTTAAAATGATATACCACATGTTTGTCATAGGATAGTTGCTAATCTAGAGATGAATAGCTATAATTAACTTGATGATCGAAGTATAATTGTATAATTGAGTTAATCGCTTTTTATGCAAAATGTTGTCAGCTACCTCCACTTATACAGCCTTGCAGAATCCTTGGAGTCAATTTATTTCTGGTTTATGATGGGTAAGTCTAGCTAAGTACCTTCTCGTACTCAGGGTTTTATTCCCATTGTTGTAGATGGCACAGTATGTCATGGATATTGCAAGAATTGCTTCTATCCCATCGTAGATGAGGAGTAAGCCTTGGGCCGGCATCTTAAATAATCCCTCCATTATGCTTTTGTGGATTGTGATCATATGTTGGCACTGTATTTGACTTATGTTGGCAAAAGCTACTTTCGAACTTAATTTGCTTCCTCTATTATCTATCAAACTTGGTTTGTAATAACTTTATTCCGTACTCTGATGATGGAAATGTATATGTGAACTTTATGTAATATGTGACATGTATGTTGAATCATGTAAGATCTTGGTTGTATGTGGATCATTTATCGAGACTCGTCGTGGTACTCGACAGACTACCGGGTTTATATGGGATCAAGTTTGATAGTGCTACCGCTTGCGGGCTGCTATTGTACTTGTGCTCTTATAAATTGGTCGGTTCTACGATAGCTGGCATCAGAGCAAGATTCAACATTAATTGCCACATGTGTATTTAAAACAAAGGTTTTTGTTTTCCAAAACCCTTTTCTAGCAACTAATAGCTATATAAATGGTATTTGAAACCTAGAGTTGAAATCTAAAGTGTGCCAGTGATCACTTTCCTTATGCCCAAATTAAGGACTCTTAGGTGGCTAATTAAGTACTAACTTGGGGGTTTTCATTTTCGTCGTCCATACGGCGTGCTATTGTATGGATGCCATTCACTTGAGTGGTAATGTATGGATCAAATGCCTCTACGCTAAGGTAAGAAGGTAAGTTGATGAGTGGCATGACCGCAAGATGTGAGCATGCGGTCAGGGAGAGCTAGCTTTGGTACGACTATGTATGCATGCTTGCATGTGTATATGGTGCGTATTTAATTGTGGGTAATAAACTGTCATTGGGTAGCTTTGATATCGAAGTATATGTATGGGTATACATATATGGAAGTATTTAGATTGCAACTTGTTTACACCAAAATTTGGAAGAAAGGTCGCAGGGACTCGAAAGCTCCCAAGATCATGTCATCAGGGAATCAATTGCGTGCAAGCTGATTCGAATGCAACACTAGAATCGGCTTTCTTCAGGTAGCGCCTGCAGATAACGACAAAGGCTACAATCGACACCAGGACAAAGCATGTTGGACTCTATAAAAAGGGAAAGATTAGAGTCCAAGTTATCTTAAATTAGGAATGTCTTCTCTAGGGCCAAAGATTGTGGTGAGTCGTGCTTAGATAGGAGTAATGCGAGGGTCCCGGGTATAAATATCAAACCCCAGCTATTGTAAAGGACACACAATCAATCAAATATAAGTTATTTACTTTTTTTAGGAGTAGAGTAGATCTCGGCGAGTTCTTCAGCTAGTACGGCTACATCGATCCGGTCGACCTCCACTGCTTGTCTGTAAGTACCATCATGGCTTATACCTTTGTTCATACGGCTACATCGATCCGGTCGACCTCCACTGTGACTCTGGTATAAGTTAGTTATTGACTCTTGTCTAGTTCAAATAAGGCTGCATCGATCCGGTCGACCTCCACTGCTCAAACTAAATTAAGGTCAAGTTATCGGCTCTATCTAAGGGTGGCGTTCCTTCGGATAGATTCATTAAGTTACCGATATTGCTTATTGCTTCCATTATTTATTTAATTATAGCAATATCACTTCGCTCGATGGGATTGATCTAGATTGTCCTTATATCTTGTTTAACCCATCGTTTGTTAATCAAGACTGATCTGATCTTCACTTTTAAATGATGAGTTATGTTTTATCGGCTATTTTATATCAATCTTGATCATGCATAGCGTGCGGTTAAGGCATGTCTGATCTTGAGTAGATCTATTGGCTAGTGAAAACTGTTCCATGGCCCGTTATCACGGCCTGTGTGATTCTGCCTCACACCCCACTATTAGCACCGTGGAGTGGGGATCGTTATTTGGTAGATCTGTTCTTGAGAGGGCATGATCTTAACTGTGCACTAAGCCAGACTCAGCTGTCTTAGCCGATATCGAGTGCTTTTACAAACAGTTCGTGTCATGAGACCGTTGAAGTAGCGATAGGTTGAAAGATGTGTTAGCCCCAAGATCTTATTATTGTATTATGGCCTACATGATTCTGCCTCATGCCCCACTGATATTAGTAATAAGTTAGGGTCATCGAGTCTTTTGTTGTTTCTACGGCCTGCATGATTCTACACTGGTCATAGCGATAGATGAGATCTAATATGTTTATTAGATTTATCTCTATTAAATGGTTGAAAGATGATGAACTGTTTCTTTTATAAAGGGATTTGGTTACTTGCAGTCATTTGCTCCGTATAAACTAATTATTGTTAATATCTTATCGCCATTGACCAATATTTGTCTAAAGAATGATATTCATCCTGAACGATAACCGATTCTTCTTACA